ATCGCGTGCCAGCGCTATCTCCCTCCTTTCCCATTAACTCCTTTCACCCCCTTCCATTAATATTAACCACTTGAGGGGGTCCTCTTATCTCGATATTTTAATTTCCGTCATTTCATTAGTCGTGGCGCACCCTCCACTTCTTAGTACCGGACAAACATAACAGTTAGCTGTTTGGCCAAAGATGTCTTCTTAACATCACTCTTATAATAGAATTGTATACATTTTTGGACGCACAGTACATAGTCATATCGAAAAGAAATAACGCTACATTTTTTTTCGACGGTTATTCTATAAATCGTGACATACGTACGTTGTTTAACGGGACAAAAGTCAATGTAAATGGATTAATTAATTTTTAGTTAAAAACCATTTGTAATTTTCTGGAAAAATATCATTTTAATTAAGTAAACTATTTGTACAAGTAAACTAGTCTAGTAAACTATTAAAATATAAATAGACAGCATATATTATTTATCGACCCCGGTATATATTATTTAATATCGACCCCCGGTATATTAATATTACCCCGGTATATCGTCAGAAAAATATTATTTAAGTATAAAACATATTATTTACTAATTAAGTTAACAAATTATTGATTGTCCTAAGAAAGAATATTTTTTTTACTTTATTTTTCTGCTCGAACCTGACAGAAGTTCCAACAACCAGCAGAATATCTGCCAAGCCAACTTTCTACTATTAAACCAGTCTTAGCAGGAGTGCCTCAGGGGTCAGTACTCGCTCCTCTGTTACATATCATTTACACATAAGAAATAATTCAAATTATAATGATAACTCTCTTAATATGTCCTTCACTTTCATCACGTTACTGTTGTCTTGCAAATTGTAAAGTTCTCTCAGGCGTTTAGTAGAATCCTAAAGGTTAAATTTACTTTATACTAGTTCATAGGCGATATCACATTCTTGGTTCATTCTATTGATTATTATTTGATCTCTTTAAAAAATACAGCGATCACTGATTTTAATCATATGTTCATAACCAACATAAAACTAAAAGACTGAAAATTGGTTATTTCTTAAAATATCAGATGATTTTCGAACCAAGCTTCGGTAGGATCAAGCAGATATAAATTCCAGTTGATCTTTTTTATAACCACATATTAAGTGATGTTTGTAACCTTTTTTTAGCTGTGTTCGTTACTGGTTTTCCATGAAACAACTGGTGATTGATTTAGTCACATGGATCATTTTGTATTTCTAGTTTCCACATTTTTGTTCATAATTTGGATATGTTTTGTTTTTAGTTTTATTAAAGAATTTACTGGCATTGTAATTAAGTTTAATAGGTTATTCGAACGCATTTGGTATTAATGATATGGCTAAGTTTCATTCACATTTTTGAATTCAGGTTTTAGTAATGTCATAACTCATGTAATAATTGTAAAAAGATATGTCTACTGTCATCAAAAGTGAAATACATAGCGGATTAGCCGCTTTAAATAAAAACATTTAGAAAATTAGCACTGTAAATATATGCATGTTTTGTGACTCTGTGAAGTTTTATTTCCTGTAGATCGATGTAGAAATAAATTGCCACATATTCGTGAAATAGTCCAAGCCTGTTCCGTGAAACACGGAGAGCTCTAGAATTCCAGATAAGTTAATCAGTTTTTCCAATGAAGTGAAATTCTCTTAAATGTGAAAACTTTCGTTACTAACGCTAGGTCTTAGTTAAGCTCATCTATTTGACTAAATATATATTAAAATTTGAGAATTGATTATGTAAATACACCTATTCATAAATGGAATATATTTGAATTAGCGGTGAGAGAAAAATGAAATGTAGTGAAAATAAACAATTATTATTCAAGGTTTTTGTGAATTTATTCGTTTATTTATTTTATTTAAAAAAATATATATTAAATCAGATTTTTAATATTAAAGTATTTCCTTACTCGACGGCATTTTTCGATTTTTTAAGTTGAGTAAATATTTTTGATACTCATCTTTAGTGTTGCCCAAAATCGGCCTTGGTCTTGTAAAGTGTAAGACCAAGACCAAAGCCGACTGACTGTAGCAAGACTATGATCAGGACTGGTAAAAAAATCGAGTTTTTGAATAAAAATTTAGGTGAAATAGTTACTATTACTTGAAAATCTTAGTAACTATGTATAAATAATTGGCATAACCAATTTACTTTTGCATTTAACTCCCCTAATTTTTCATTCGGGCTTAGTTAGATTTCTTCTATCTAAAAAATTACTGTAATATATCTATAGTAATAAGCTAATAAGTAACTGTAAATGACTAAGACTGAGTCTGCAAGACCAAGACTCGTCTCGGTCTCGCATTTGGGCAACAGTATTCATCTTCATGAATACATTTTTCTTATTAATTTAAGAAGATTCATTTCAGTATATTTGCTTTTTCTTATTTAGCACCCATATTTAGGCATGGTTCTTCTAATGTTTATGTACTCCCATAAAAAAAAAGAAAGTTTCTGAAGATGAAGATAAAAAAATGGTCGAAACGTTGGAAAATAACCAGTAAGACTTGTATATTGAAAATGTAATTTAATAAAAAAATAAAATAATTTTATAAATGAATGTGTTCATGAAGATCTTGAATAATACAACCTAGATCTTTCTAAGATGGAATATAATATGTCATGTTATTATATAACCATATAATGGTTATATGAGTAATTATTGAGCGAATAAAATAATGAATCATTTTTGTTGTTTTTTTAAATGATATGCTCCTAGGGTAGCAAAACGTTAATATAATGCAATATTTTATTTATTTGTTCTTTCGCCACTGTCCTAAAGGTGATTGAAATTGTACTGTTTGTTTTTCTTTATATTTTTTGGTATTGGCCAATGCTTTTAAAAACATTAATAATTTTTTAAGGTAATCTAGTTGTAATTCTCTCCCACCACTCAGCTAATGGGTGGGTGGTTCTGATATTTGCAGAAAGTATACATGTTTGAATAAATGTTTTTATTAAAACATTACCTTTTTCTTTTAACATTCATCTCTGATAAAATGTTTGTTTCATTCTGTTGCGATGAAGGTTGTTTTTTCTAATTAAAAAAACAAAAAACAATGCCTTTGGTTGAGCATGTTTATCTTATTTTTTTATTTATGCATGATATTTACAACTGTATTAAATTTAACGTACATCTAGTAAATGTGTACACAGGAATGATACAATCACATGAAAAGGCTTGTTGTGAAACTACCCATTGGTAACACTCTAAGAATATATTTACATAGATCACGAGGCCATCTTCTTTTCAGACACCTTGGAGGGTTATCAGGTATCGAAGAGGAAGCACGGTTTGAAACGAGAGGGTTATGGAAAAATAGGTATCTTGATAGGGCTAAACCGGAAACATATGGTACGTTAAGGTCGTTATGGATGATTTTGTTTGTGACAAAGTCTTTTTTATTTAATTTTTTTTTCTGTATAATTAACTAAAAAGAAAGTTACTATTTGTATTAAATGATGTCTTAATGGTCCCTGAAGGTCTTAAAAAAATAAATTAAACATGATATCTACTGTAGGTACAATCCCTATAATTCGTAACGCTTAAGGACGAAGATGCAGTGTACGGCAATCTTTGTATTTTTTACGGATTTTTCCTGTGGTACATCAGTTTATCTTAACTTAGCGGAATATGAATTATTGAGTTTGTAATACAGAGAAATAGTACTTTTAGAGATGGATTTTTTCATCTTGACAAGTTGTTACGTGCACCTTAACAAAGTGATTGTTTCAAGTATATGCTTAACTTACTGAAACAAAAATGGAGCCATGAATATTTTTGGTGTTTCTGCCCTAAAGATCACCACCAATGCCGGCCTTAGGGATTGGAGGCGCACCCTTTGTGGGCCTCGGTCTATCTTTAGGGGACTCGCCACTTGTAAGATATATAAAAAAATTAAGTTACACAGTTACAACACGTATTAAATAATTAATTTTAGCCTACTAATTAAGTAACTGCATTACAGAAATGTTGTATGCAATTAAATTCAAATATTGCATAATATTAAACACCTTAAGAAATAAACTTAATATTTTTAGGAGAGGAGAGATAACGTCATTGCCCGGGGAGGGGGGGCGCCGAATGTCTAAGGCCGTTACTGACCACCACGTTGATCTGCTAGAGGATAAAATGAAACAGCAAATGAGGTTGTATTAATGTATATTAGTGCGTTAATGAATTGCTAAGAAGGGATTGGAATGGGATTTCGTAATGGAGAAAATAAGATCAGTTATAGAGATGTAGGAAAAATAAAAATTCTCACTATTGAATGAAGATGATAAAGATATGTGGGAAGGGGAGAAATATTGCTAAAAGAGGAGCATAAGAAGAAGGAATTTAATGCATCAGGAGAAACTGGGAAGACAAAAGAGAAGAAGATTTGCAAAGAGAGAGTTTTCGAAATACATTGCTAAGGTCCATGTCCTGTCTCATTGAAAGGATATTTATTTATCTTATATAATACACAATTACAGGAAAAAATAGCCTTAGTAACCAATAACCAAATTATCTACATGATTCCGACTCAAATATTTGTAATTTCTCATGAATAATGAAAAATTGGCCATTCTTGCTATGCTATGTTATATGAAATATTATTGATCTTAATTGGAATGTAAATGGAACAATCTCAAACAATAAAGCCTTGAGTCACTACGGATGAACAGTTAATATGCCAACGTTTCGGCAATTCAGGCATCATGAAGACAGAAAAAAATAAGATCACATATATACAAAAAGAAAAAAAGAAGGAAAGAAAGAAAAAATTATATCAAAAAATTATACATTTACTAACGACATCCTAATTACTTTATTTCTCTTTTTTAGCTATTGCCTCATTTATAGTACTAATCATCTTAATACTAATCAATTCTGCAAAGTGTAATTTGGTACGGTATTCGCTTTAGGATTGTTTTAGAAAATACCTCCCTTCTTGCTACACCTGTTTCCCAACTGACCTTCCGATATCCCTTTCATCGCAGATTTCTGGGATCAATCCATTAAGGATGTCCAGCAGCTGGAAGGAGGAGCTGCTGAGGGACAAATACCGAGATCGTATTCCGCAGCAGAAGCAGAAGCAATGCGGGAGTCAATTAGCAAGAGGCAGAGCGATGTATCACTGTCAGCTGGGTGTATATTGCTTTCTGTCTGTCTGTCTGCAGGCAATTAGTGCTGGTCATTGATTAGTTCTTCAGATGGCGCTCGCGGGGTTAGTCATAGCAGGATTGTCGTCCCCTCGCCGGGGAACATGAGGGCACCCACGTGCTATCCATTGTCCCGCTCAATGAAGTTCCTGTATCGAGTATTGGCACGGATAGCTATGTCCAAACAGTTACCGGGTCCTATCAAAATATTAGGTTTATACTTTCTCGAGTAATTCAGTTAAAGGAAGTGTTATGCACTAACTTTTTTGTCCTTGTTAGAGAAGAGAAAACACTTTTTAATGAAATCTTTCATAAAGCACTTATACCAAAAGCGAATTATTCTATCTCCTCATTTTCCTAAAAACTGGTAAAGTTGAATTAGAATTGCAAAAATTATAGAATACTTAATAGTTGACCGTTGCATTATAAAGGAAGGAGATAGTCCGAGGTGGCGGTCATAATTAGGCTAAATAGTGGCAAAACTATTTTATTAAAAGCCAACGTTTCGACCCGACTTTGCAGGTCTTCTTCATGGCTAGAACGGACAAGACACAAAAGATATAGAGAATTGTGGAAGTTACATAATATTTAGACAAAAAATTATGAACAATATGAATAATTTGATTCACATTGTGTATAATTTTATTCACATTGTTTATAATTTTTTGTCTAGATATTATGTAACTCCGACAATTCTCTATATCTTTTTGTATCTTGTCCGTTCTAGTCCTGAAGAAGACCTGCAAAGTCGGGTCGAAACGTTGGCTTTTAATAAAATAGTTTTGTCACCATTTAGCCTATTTATGGCCGCCACTCCGGACCATCTCCTTCTTTTGTAACAATTATAGTTTATTCACGAATATATTTGCATGATTGTCTGTTCCATGCTTTTCTCTTGTTCTCTGGTTTTAAAGTTCCGTCAAAGTTAAACACAATAAAAATATCGTTCCTTCCAAAAATTAATTATCCCGGAAAAATGTACCCACTTCAAAAATATTAATAGCGCCGTGACATTGTACTATCCTCCCACTCCAGTTCCGCCCTATGCTGATATGTGGATGAACTGTATATTTTTGTATAGACTAAAAAAGAAATGTAATTCTTGACTCTTTCTTTTCTCAAGGTATCACGACTAATTTCCTGTACTATTTTATAGCAAAAAAAAAAAAATTTAAAAAAATCTATATTAGAATCACGCTTTAAAAAATATCCAATGTCCAAAATTTAAATTTATGCTATTCCATTTCAATATTATACACAATGAATGAATAATAATATATTGAATATTCTATAGTTGGCCATTGTATACTGAAGTAAGTGATGGTACGGGGGCGGAAAAAAAAAATGAATATTGTGGAATTCCACTATTTTAAGTTTATTTTTTTAAATAATAAAACACACTAAACAAAACCACATGTCTTCCATATAACCATGTAGCAAATTCGCGGGAAGAGAAAATAAGGAACCTTTCCGTACCTAATACCTATTATAAACCGTATTATCCTAAAACTTTTAAATCTATTTTACCGTTTATTTAGTAATTCAATGTTGTGGGTATTAATTTTCAAAAATTAATATATAAATATTGTGACTGATTTCGTATAAACTTAATTTACTTATAATGTATTAACAATTATTGAGGATAATATCCGATTAGTGCTGATAAAATATTTTACCATTCCTAATTTAAATGTCTTTAAATTTCTCATCATATATTTTGTCAAAATTGTCTGATTCAAGTTATTTTATATCCAAATCCTTGTAAAAAAAAAAATAATAAAAATTAGGATGGACGTCGGTAAATTCAGTTGCCAGAATCGAGTTTGAAATGAAATGTAACAATCAATATTGCAATAGTAAAGGTGTATTGTTTAATTTCTTTTTTTATCATCACAAAATACGTAAGATAGGCTTTGCCATTTTAAGGTGAAAAGATAATTTATTTATTTTTCAAAGTTTATAATACAGAATCTCATATATATATTTTTAAATTTCTCCTTATAGTGTATACAAATAACAAAGTAAAAACAAATCTAGTTTTACTTTTGCCACATTTCCTCAGAAATTCCATTGTAATTGGAATTTTTTTTTCTAACTTTATTCAATAAGTTCGAAACTATAATATAACAAAATACAGTTTGAAAATATGCTGAAGTATAGACGCCGGTAATAAGGGGGAGATGTATCAAGGCACTTTCAGCCCTCCCCCCCCAATATTGTATGAAGGGGGAGCTGGGGCCCTCCAATATTTTGCATTCATTTACTTTAAAAAAACTGACAAAAAGCTGTAAACTGTATGGATCATAATCATAATACTAGTGCTGAAATAATTACAATACTGCCGTGCAAATAATTTCTTTTCTTTTTTTTCCTGTCGGCTCAAGACTTCCTCTGAAGAGCTATATTGCTCCTGCGTGAATAATTCGCATAGCGTATTGGTCAGTGAACAGATAATGATATAATATGGAAATAAGTAAATTAAATTGATTAAAGAAATTACTTTTTTAATCCTTGGTCGATTAGAACGGTTTGTTGGCAGTGGCGGATCCGGGAATTTTCTGACGGGGTAGCCCACTTGTGAAACATGCGAATTCCGTATACCAAAGGTGTATGTATATATATAAAGAAATGTATTTTACTTTTTTTATTTCGTCTTATATTTTACCATAAAATGACGGTCAAAATTCCTTAACCAAAAAATTGGCGTTTATAGACCTAAAACCCGAATTCAATATTGAATTGAAAAATAATTTTCAAGTGATCAAGGCACTCTAGCAGCTACTTTCAGCAACAATCTACAGATACTTTTTGAGTTATTCATTGGTATTGAGTAAAAATTAGTTATTTAATACAATTCACTTTTCAATTAAAATTATAACAATCGAAGTGACGGTTGTGTAATGTTTTTTAATTTTTCAAAAAAATTGTCTCACCTTCCACGGTAATTAACCAAAACATTTGTACAAAATACAAATTTGTTTTGTGATGTATTTGATCATCTTTCAAACTCTATAATCTATTGCACCATTAATTGTATAATTTTTTAATTAGGAATACATAAAATTTGTTTTAATTTTTTCCTGATTTTTCTGAAGGATGTGCTCATTTCCCGCATCTCAAATAAAAAATAAACTTCAAAATGATGGATCAATCATTGGATTTGATGAAGGATTAACGAAGATATGGCGAATCGAAAACAAAAACTTTTAATAATTAATATATCATATAATGAACAGGTTACAGTAAACTTCGAACGCTTCATGTGACCTCATTAAGGCACGGGGAACATTTGTTGGATTAAAAGCAGAAAATTTCATTGAATTCCTGAAGTAACAAACAGAAATTTATGACGCAGTAACTTGTAAGGCTGGCCAAGAGGGTGGATGAAAAGATCTACCCCTTGAGTGGTGGGCGTGGCCAATAGCGACCAATGAGATGCTCCGGCCCAGCCTCCCTGCTGACGTCTCATCCCCACCTCTTCCCTCCTCACCGAGGTGTCCAGCCTACATCGCTGTAACCCATCTTAATTTATAACGGACAGCCAAGTTCAAATGAATTGAATTATTGGATTATATTGATAGACGGTTGTTGCCGCACTATCGGGTATGTGTTGCTAATCAGGGAGCATGATTCGGTGTCGAAGCGAATATTGACCATGAGAGAATGCGGCAATTATTAATAATCATCACACTAAAACTAATTACATTCCATAATAAGGGATTGATCACAGAATGTATTTCCTCCATTGAAGTTCTTGAATATTCTGTCAGGAAAATAAAAAAATGGTGGAAATACATTTCATGTCTGCTACAAAAAAATAGTTTTCGAATTTAAAAAAAAAATAAAAAATATATATATATATATATATATATGTATTGAATTGAGTCGTTTATTTCCAAAGAGAACCTTTGTAGGTTTTTTTAGAAATTGGGATAAGTATCAATTCTCATGAAAAATACCCAATGAATTCGATGGTACAATTATTTTTTTTTTTTAAGTGGACGCAAATTAGTGTTGCACAAATGCGAGACCAAAACAAGTCTACATTACAAGTCTTGCAGTTACCTATAGTTTATTACTATAGAGATATTACTGTAATTTTTTAGAGAGGAGAAACCTAACTAAGCTCGAGTGCAAAAGTATATTGGTTATACCAATTCTTTACATATAGTAACTACAATTGTCAAATATTAGTAACTATTTGGCCTCAATTTTTATTCAAAAAATAGATTTTTTTTTTACCAGTCTAGGTCTTGGTCTTTTAACAGTTAGCCATTCTTGTTCTTGATCTGGCAAAGTGCAAGACAAAGACGAATTTTGGCAACACTAACGCAAATATAAAAAAAATGTGGTGTAAAAATAAGTTTATTTACGTAATTAGTCTTTTTCCAGATCATCCAAATTCCTTTATTTCTTCATTGGATTTTCGCCTGTACCCCTCTTGCGTTATTTTGGGTCCGTGAATCCTCCTCAGAATTTTCCTCACAACCTTTAGGACTTTCTCTATGCTCAGACCGTTTGACAGTTTTATTAAAATAAATATTATAAATAAATTAATTTTATTGTATCATTATTGTAAACAAGAATTTTATTATATATTGTAAAATTTTCACAACGTTTTTCTTCTCCACATTATACACCATTTTTCTTGTCAAACCGAACCCCAATCAACATTTTTTTGTCCAAAAACGGACTTTGAAGCTTAATTCTTTCCAACAGTGGTCTTATTTAAATTTCGATGTTCTGTCTTAGGGCATCATTCGTGTGAACAGCCCTGATAAAGGCTTGATATTTGGTCCGAAACGTCGGCAAAAATAAATATATGTTATTTATTTTTACTTTGTTCTTTGTTTGACTGAACACCCTAAACCAAGTTCCCTTCAATGTTGTTTAAATACTATCATAATAATCAGTGATTATCGGAAATATGTGCTATAAATAAAGAATTAATACTTTTTCATTTAAATATTGGTTTTGATATTACTAATTGAATAGAATATGTAGTTTTCTCCGTTTTATGAAAAAAATGGAAACGATGATAAGGGTTCACTTTGGAAATAAACGACTCATTGGTAAAATCAAATATTCATTGTCTATAAATAATATCATAGTAAAAATGTTTATATTCGTCAGTTAATAATTAGCTTAACTAAATTAGACTTAGGTGTCATGAGTTTAAGTTTATATCTAACTGACGTGAATGCTAAAATAGAACTCGCTTATTTGGAATAATTTGCCCAGATGTATTTCTGATAGCCCAGAATTCCGAATAAGTGATAGAGTAATTAGTAAATCAGACTCAACTCTATCATAGTAGAAAAAATAAAGTGACGATAACCTAGCAGTTAGTGTTGCCCAAATGCGAGACTGAAACGAGTTTTGGTCTTGTAAACCCAGTTTTGGTCTAGTCTTGGTCTTGCGCAAGGGTCTCACAGTTACCTATTACCTTAGTAATATAGAAACATTAATGTAATTTTTTAGATAGAGAAAACCTAACTTCAAAAAATCGATTTTTTTTTTACCAGTCTTGGCTTTGGTCTTATATCAGTGAGACAGTCATAGCAGTATTGCTAAGTGCAAGACCAAGACCGATTTTGGGCAACACTACTAGCAGTTTACACTATGAAAGTCAATAATGAACTTAATTTTAATTACAAAAATGCATGAGAAAAAAAGAGGACGGTTGAAGGGGTTCTACAAAACAACTTTGAAAAACCGAACTGACCGTAGTTTAACTGCTTAAAAGTCCGCTTTAAATGGTTTTAAAATAGACAAGATTTACTTGTATTTAATGTAGATTTAATTTAGTGTACTATGAAGTAATTTGTTGTAATCTAAATCAAACATTTTTTGTATTTATTGTTATCATAGTGGTTGGGTTAAAAATGTCAAACTTTAAGTTTTCTGGTTCTCTATATGTAGTGAGATCGTGGTTTATGGTATGGTACATATTATCAATTACATGAAATTAACGCCAATTTAAACTTGAACATCAATTCTGTGGTTCGAAGCAATTTTTGCTCAAAGTGGAAATGCAATAAATATAATCTCATAAATATCTCCGTAGCCATTGATTTTATTAAAAAAATGTATAGGATCATTTTTGTATAGATTTTAAAGTGCTTTAATATTATACCGGGCAATCTTTGGGGAAAACATCATAGTTTAAATTATTAAAAAACTAAAAAAATATTATTTTTCTGTTCTCCCCCTCCAACCATCAAAACCCGACTCGGGATTCTTTGGGAATTTTTACCAGATATTATGGCGAGGGTAACAAACAATTTATGACAATTTTTATGTTTATTTTTTTAATGTTGTGGTAAATCCCCAATTTTAATATTTTACTATTTATGCTATAGGCGCAGATTACGGGAGGACAAGGGAGTGGCAATCGCTTCTTTTCCCAATAAAAATGGTAAGGGAGCGAGAATATCGTTTAGCCCCCCCCCCCCTCCCCTCAATAATTTGAGGTAAAAAAAATAATAATAAGTAATAACAAATAAGATAAAGATGTAAACTATAATCGATTACGAAAAATCGACGAGCTGGCTAGGTTGGCTTAGGCCTATATGAAGATAAATAACTATTTTATCTAGACCAAAAGATTCCTATTATTTAAATTTTCATTTATATTCAGGGATGATTATATAGAAATATATCCTAGGATTTTATGATTCATTTTCTTCTCATGTGAACACCTCTATTTCTACATGACTTTCTTATAAATTTTCTACGATAGAATAAAAAATAAAATTGGAAAAAATACATGTAATTAGAATATGTATATATATATATATATATATATTATAGAGAATATTTTTACATACACTAGTCAGACTGTGAAAACATTGTATTTTTGTTTTAAGATTGTGCAAATTAATAAATTAAAAATAAAGGAAGGAGATGGTCCGGGGTGGCGGTCATAAATAGGCTAAATAGTGGTAAAACTATTTTTATTAAAAGCCAAAGTTTCGACCCGACTTCAGTGAAACTCCTAGCTGAACACACCTCCCTGAAGAAGACCTGCAAAGCCGGATCGAAACGTTGGCTTTTAATAAAAATAGTTTTGCCAATGTTTAGCCTATTTATGACCACCACCCCGGATTATCTCCTTCCTTTATAATGCAACGGTCAACTATTAAATATTCAATAAATCAAAAATATTTTTCGTTTTTTTCACATTATTTATTTTTAGCTGGAAAAGTTCTTGAAATGTACCTATATTATGAAGGCTGTCCGACCCCCTCCCTTCCATATTTAATGGGTAGAAATTGTAATAAATCGAAATGTTTTGTTCAGATATTTTGAAGTATATGCATATCCACATAAAACAAATTTACCAACTTCTAAACAAATGTATAAAATTATTTTTAAATATCCAATATTACATTTGCTTGTTTCACAATAAATATGTTGAATTTTTACACAGGATAAGAACTACCACCTTTTTTTTTTTGGTCCTTCGCCCTCCCCCTTCCCCCTTTCACCCATTCTCAAAGTCTGCGCCAATGCTATACACTACAGTTTATATAGAAAAAATGGTACTTTATTTTATTCATTTGATTAGCAGATAAATATGGAGGATTAAATATACTTTTTCTATAAAATTATTATACGAAAATAAAAGTTATAATAAAAGTAACTATAATCATTTCGAAAAATTTACATATTATCCTTTTTATCATATTTTTTTAATCCACACATATATTTCAACACTACCTTTAAGCATATTAATATTGTTTCAATATTTCCTTTTCCTGATGATTTGCTTAAATTTCGTAATTAATTAATAAATCATTGTTATGAAAATATCCATCATTTTCCGTTCGTTATCTTAATGGCTATTTAAAAGGCTTTGAAAGCTCTAATCGGCATTACAATGTGTGAAAATAATCATGGTAAGTAAATTTGTCAGTGCACTGCCGGTAATTTAGGAGGCACTGGCTAATGCCGCTTGAACACGCAGCTTCAGATTTATTGCTCATTTAGTGGCAAGCTGCTCTTTACTGTTGTGGTCTCTTAAGTGGAATAGATTATCTTAAGAAAGATATATTTGTGTGGCAATTTATTTGTAAAATCTCATTGTTAGTTTACTCACCAAATCTCAAACACATAATCTCGAATAGGTGGCTTATTATTTTTTTTAAAACGGTTTCGTATATGCTCACTATTACTAATGTAATTAATTGTGACATTGTGTAATATCGCTCAATAAAAGCTTTAAAACTTTTTGAAGTTCATTAAAAATATGAATTGTTCTGAACCAACAACTTTTCATACACACACATATAAAAAGGTTTTCCTGTAAGTAGAGAGAAATATTTAAACGGATGGTAGGAGGCCTCAAGAGCTCCAAAAATGTTTTGTGAACAATGGTCCAATTTCCCGTATAAAAGTAGGAAATTCACAAGTTTAGTTGAATAGAAAACGATAACTAAAAACGCTGCAAATTATTTCACAATGGTTTATTATTTCCAAACAAGTATACATCTAAAGTAACATTACATTCCGAGTTACAAAGAAAAAAACAAAAAACAAAAGGTGATTCCAATTATTGGACTAAACTTTTTTTTTTTTATCATTAGTAGCCGACGATACGGACAACTATACCTGCTACTAAACAGAAAATCTAAACTTCTCATTGAAAACAAGCTACTGATGTACAAGAAAATACTGAAATCTATCTGGACTTACGGACTTGAACTGTGGGAATCAGCAAAATTTTCTAACATCAAACGCATCCAATCCTTCCAATCCAAAGTCCTTCGAACAATAGTCGATCCTCCTTTCTATGTAACCAATAAAACCCTACACCATGACCTTAATATCATATTTGCCCTAGATCTAATCCTATCAAAATTCTCCAAATTCCACCAGAATCTTACCCATCATCCAAATCCCTTTGCACAATATCTATCTAGCACCACCCATTCATATAATCCTCCAAGGAGATTAAAACGGCAGTGGCCCCGCGACCTTTTATAGTTTGTAAATATTAGAGTTCTGGCAATGGCCAGATTCTCCACTCACGACATGAGTGTATGTTGCTTGAGCACTCTTGCTCAATCTCCACTAGGTTTAGCCCCAGTGACGCGGTTGAGAGATAAGTGCAGGGATCTCCTGAAGTCATGCTTTTCCCTCCACAGTTGGAGGTACAAGTCTGGTTTGGAGTTCTCTCTCCAGATTGTAAATATTGTATATAGGTATGTATGTGTTCTTTTATTCATTTATTTTTAGGTTATTTTATTCTTATTTATAGTATATCTATTTTTTTCTGTATAATTTATTTGATTTACTGTACATAGAGTGTGAATGTGATCTGTGAACACTATTATAAATGTTCTTGAGACAGATTGTAATATTTTTCAATAAATAAGCTTAAAAAAAAAAATCATTAGTAATATGCTAAAAAAACTAGCATTACTTCAGTAACACATTCATAATTCAAACACCAAAATCTAGAGACCATATCTTTGCTCCTAATTGTCCGATTTTAACAAATTTGTTTTTATTTTTTAGGAAATTCCGTAAACTTTTAAAACACCATATACAATATCAAAATATAAAAGTATACATGTGTATACTTTTTGAGTTATTCGGAATTTAATTTTACCATCCCTCGTAACTTTTTTCCAGCTTCTTTTCATTGAAGTATGTTACATAGATAAATTTAAAGGGCTTCGAGAAAATGACTTTAGCGAAGTTTCATTGAAATCGCTACATTCGTTTAGGCGCTACAATATATAGCAACGCAGGTTTTTCGGCCGCCATTTTGAAAGTAAAAGGCGGATAGTAATGTCGATGAAGGAGGAACATCCTCGAGTGACCTCTGATTTTATATTCAAATTTGAAAAAAATCGGTGCAGTAGTTTCAGAGAAAAGCGTGGACGGCAGACGGCGGATAGACAAACTAATTTTTATTCGTTTTTCGAATCCTACATATTCTGAAACCTAAAACCTCAAATTTTGAGAAAGGGTTAAGTTTTTGAATTTTTTGGTCGATCACAATGGTTCATTCATTATTTTTTTTTTTTTTTTTATTATTTCAATGGAATTTACAACTGTATTACATAGAGAATACAATAAGTAAATGAGAAATTTGTAACATGGCATGTACAACATGAAGAGAAACTACCCATTGGTAGAACTCAAATCATTCATTATTGAAAATAATAAACCAAAATATATTTAATTTGAGTAATTAACAATTGCTTCATAGTAAATTAGACAAAATTTACTCCAAATGAAAGCATAGTTTGTCACTGTTAAAACCGTTTAAAGAAGAAAGAGACAGTGGAGATGAGAAGCAGATGAAGAACTCTTCTTGCCGGTGGTACGGTTCCTGGAGCTGCCTGAAGAAGTGGAAGTGTGGTGAGACGGTATCGCACCCCGATAGAGTGAATGAGTGGTGCTAATTGATGGCTACCTGTTGAGCTATGCAGATGAATGGTCTGTGATCAATCAACGGTGATGTATGAATGGTCTCCCGGCGGTGGCCGACTTCTTCATCTTCACGGCCTGTCGCTCTTGAAGGCCTGCCGATGGTGCGGGTCATCTGTCTTGTTCCGGCCACAGCCGCTGGGCGGATAGTCCAATCCTTACAGGATAATTCTCGATTCAGCGTGGCTCGGAAGAATAATGGCCATTGAAGGTAGTGCCAACATTGTTCAGATTCCTTCTTGCCCGAAGGAAAGTGGTTTACTTTGTATTTTACATTTTACCATAAATTTTCAATGAGAAACATCGTTCTGTTCAAAAAACGGAAATTTTCACATACCGAAGATTCTTTTGTTAATTGAGGAACAGAATCTCAAAACCAGTCAACTCAATTTTCCGTTTATTTAGGTATTATTTAAATAACAGTTTTAGTACAAGATCTATATGATGTCAAATAATATCTACTAAAATATATTTAAGAACTTCTGCCGCCTCATAACAATCTTATGTCGAAATTGTTAACTAAAAAATAAATGCCCAGAAGTAAAGGACATCAATTCCATTTTATTTATTATATAATTTAGAAACTAAGAAACAAATCTTAATAACTCAAAGTTATGGAAAATTGTCTCTCCTGATCGAATACAAAAATGGACATGGTATTATTTACCCCCGTGGTAAGGAAATAAATAGAATATTTATTGGAAAACACGGATAAAGCTATCCATAATGACCTTAATGCTCCATATGTTTCCGATTTAGCCCAATTCAGAGACTTATCTTTCTATAATTTACTTCAGATCTATTCAAACCCATCAGTTTCAAACCTTGCATCTTCTTAGATTCCAAACAATCCTGCTAGGCCTCTGAAAAGAAGATAGCCTCAGATTCTAATAACTAATATAGATTCTAATATAGAACTATAATTGGTATTTTACCAATGGATGATTAAACTACAAATCTTTCTGTCAATGTAATAATTCACATTTACTTGCTGTGTTTTTACTTTTATTTAGCTATATATGTTGTATAAAGTTAGGAAAAGTATTGCGATCGTGAAAATTTTCAAATCTGAGTTTTTAATGGAAATGGACGTTTTGAGGTCTCCTGAGTCAAAATAACAAATAAGTCCCGCAAAATGGTCTGTGTGTATGTGAACAGTCTAGCTCAAAAATGAAAAGTCGTACACGAATGATATTACTTATTTAAGATAGACATATACCTGGAATTTTATAGCAACTTTTTCCTTAAAATCGACTAACCGGAAGAGAAACTTTATATCAACGGTTATACGCATGTTTAGTAAATACTATTATAAATTTCAATAACTTTTTTTTTATAAATGATATTTACAACTATATAAAAATAAATATACATTTAGAAAATGTGATGCAGAGAAATGCAACGGCCTGAAAACTAGAGAAACTACCCATTGGTAGCAGTCTAATAAAGTGTCTAAATTAGAGGATCACTAGGCAATCTTCTTTTCGGACAACACGGTGTTGGTGGAAGGGGAAGTTATCAGGGAACGGAGAGGAAGCAAGATCAGAAACCAGAGGATTAGATTGGTTCTGAAGTCTTTAATGAAAGGATAGGTATCTGGATTGGGCCAAAGCTGAAACAAATTGAAGATTAAATTCAATGTGGATGAATTATAAAAAGTAGGGAGAAAAGAATTTATAAAAGAATTTGTCCAAATAGGTAAGTTCAAATAGGACTTATTAAAATCATGTATATGAGTCTCTTGCAATTTATTGGAGGCTTAGAACTTCTGTATATTAAGTGCTGTACTAGGCGGAAACTTAAAGCAGTTTCTTGTCGTTTCAGTCTGGTATCAGGATTCCAAGTTATTCGTTCGTCCAGGTGGAGGGAGTCCTAGGTATCGGATTTATTTAACAGGAATAAATGAGAAATTATTAAAGGATACTGCAGGAGAGGAATTCATAGGTTTACGACAAAGGATAAAGATTATTTGATGGGATTTATTAAAATTTATTTTTATCTTCCAATTTTTTTTTTTTGCGCTTTCATATATTTATCCGCACCTGTCAATTACAACTATCGACAATCAGCAAATGTGCTGGCGTAGTAATGAGAGGAAAAAAATAAAAATAAATTTATAAATAAAAAGGCTTGATAGGCATGAGAAATAGCAATACCCAGCGGTATCCCTTCCATGGCTTTTATTTACTAAAAGATTATTTAAGTAGATCCCTCATCCAGACCCTTTTCATTCGTCTTCTGGAGTTCTCGGGCATACTAGTTGTGGCCATTTCTTTTACCAGCTGGTTGGAGTGCCCGTTTAACATGTTATGAAATCGTTTGTAGTACGTTCGTATGTGTTCATTGACTGTCGGAACGTGTAGGTCGGTGTGTAAAGTGTGGTTGTTTACGTACCATGGTGCTTGAGTGATTAGTCGTAGTACCTAGACTGAAAAGTTTGAAGTTTTTTTATGTGAGTTGGTTTTGCAATTCCGTATATTTGTAGTCCGTAAGTCCAAACAAGTTTTAAAAGATATGTATGTGTAAATACTTAGTTTCTGTCTTGCTTTTAATTTGGAATGTCGTCTAAACAGTGAATGTAACAGTTTTAGTCTTAGATTTAATGTGATTCGTTTTTTCTTCACATGTGGACCCGATGTCATTCTCCTATCGAACGTAAGGCCTAGGTATTGTGCTCTGTCTGTTTGTAGAATCGGTATGTTGTCTAAGTATACAGGAGGGCATGCTTCTGGTCTTAGAGTAATTGTGATGTGCTGTGACTTTTAATAATTTATTTGAGTTTTCCAAAGTTTACACCAATCGAGTATTATTTGTAAGTGATGTTATAAGGTAAGCGATGCTTCCAATTTTGACACGAATATTTAAGATTCGTGATGATTGAAGAGTTTGGGATTGGTGGTTCCTTATTGACTGATAGGACGCATATGTAATCGGTATACGTGGTGATGATAAGGTGTGAATTTTGATAAATAAAAAAATATATATATTAATTTTTAGTTTAATTTAAGTTTTGACTTTTTTTCATTATATTTTATCTCTTCACTTTACCTTAGGACCGACAGGCAAAAAGTGAGGAGAGATAAAAAGTTACAAATATTTAAGAATATTTGATAATTATCAAACTACATTATCAATGGAAGGGACGAACTCGCCGATGTTGGGACGACAAGCGCTGAAGAAACATGAAGACAGATCTATCCCCCCGATTACGCTTCGGGCCGGCAGAGGCAGGGGAGTGGAAGAGCAGAGAAGGACAGGGCAGATATGAAGAACAAGGCCGGAGGACCATTAGTAAGGCTATCTGCTGTGGGATATCTGGGGGGGGGGGCTATCTGGGGGCTCCCCAGTATATTAATTGACACGGCTCCCACTTCCGAGCCCGCCGCTCTTCCAGCTTGTTTTTTTTATTTCATTTTTTCATAGCATATCATGGACCAGGGTCGCCTTTCAGACCACAAATATTTGTCTCGGAGTTTTTAGTTCGTTCCTGACTTGCGAATATTGGCCAGGTAGGAAAATGATCTGTAATCTATAAGTTGTGACAGCTACTCCTCTAACATATTCATTTTAGGAGGCGAATTTGATATCTATCTTGACCATTCAGTTGATCTTCGATCGAAGTCAAGTATTGTAATAAAAATATTTGAAAATATAAAATTTCTATTCGTACATACTATTATTTTAAGTTATTCAAAATAATTGCCTTTCTTTCGTCCGTTTCCGATTTTCTTCTTTCATCCTTTCCCTTTCCACCGAAGAACAGTCGTCGGTAGAAAAAAAATTACTCATATTTTATTTGCCTACAAAGCAATCCGGTCTTTTGCACATATTGACCTAAGCAAGCTTTTGGAAACTATTCGCGGTTCAAATAGCTGAGTTTTGTTATAAATTTGTAGCATTCATCTATATAGTTTTAGATGCCTAAAGGACCTGAAAGAAATAACTTAAATGAATAATACATTTCCTAGAAAACTTTTATTTTACTTATTTAAAAAAAAAAAGATTATAGGCGGTTTTCGGTTGCTGCTGTTTTTCAAAATTAAAACTTTCGTATAATAATGAATCTTTCATGTAAAATAGAAATGAGCACGAGGGAAGGCGTGGAAAAATAACATCTTTGTTTACAAGAAAAAAAAAGTGGAAAACCATGTACTTATATACCGTGATATTAATGAAAGCTAAAGCACGTATGTGATTCGCTGATATCTTTAAAATAAGTCATAAATTGAACAATCTCATCTTGAAGAAGATCAGCTATAATGAAGGGTGAGCCAATTTGAGTATCCTGATTTTAATTTTTAAAAACCACATACAAAATGTAATATTCTGTTACATTTTAATTAGTATATATATTTTATTATTATTATATTTTTGTTAGTATAATTCATTATATATGAAAATTGATTTCAGCCAAAATGGTGTGGATTGGGTAATACAGAAGCAGGAAGTTGATCCTGTTTTTTTCAAAGAAAACTTTCTTCTGTGATGAAGCTCACTTCGAGGTATCTCGGTATACTAAAAAACAACGTTTCCTCATTTTGGTTGAATTCCTCATTGAATCCTCATTGAAAGTGATACATCAGATACCATTGCATGTCCACAAAGGTACTGTGTGGTGTGTATTGTGGTCGGAAGGCGTAAAATCGAGCCTTCCTTTTTTGAAAACGGTCTAAATTTCTTGGGAACATATTTGAGCTGGGATGAAGCAAAAATCACTTTTTTAAGTAACTTGTTTTGCACTTAAGGCTAAAAAAATGAATACAATTAAGAAAAGTCCGAGTAAATATTAAATCTGGTAGAATTTAATTTTAACATGTTGAACTACTTTAGCACTTACTAGACAAACGCTCTAAGCTTTCAATTAATTAGAAAAACTCATATACATGATTACAATAAGCCCTATTTGGACTTACAGAGCTTCGGGGCACTGCTAACCTATCGAATTCCTCTCAAATAACTTCCAATTAAGTTAATAAATAAAGGTAACTTCAAATAAAGTTAAAAATAAATTAATCCACAATAGATACCTATCCGTCCATAACAAACTACATAACGATTCCAAACCTCTCGTTTCTGAGCTTGCTTCCTCCTCGATCCCTGATAACCTTCCCGAGG